TCATATATATATATATATATATATATATATATATTTCTGCTTTGCTCTATTTATACACCAATTTGGGCTAAGGCAAGTCAGAGTTGTATGTGGCTAATATCTGAGGAGTTTTGTCTCTGTATGATGATAATACATACACTTGGATCATCAGATGAAGAGACTTGGGAATTTCAGATCAATTTTCCACCACCTAGTATTCTCAAACATTGGTTAACTGCCATAACTATAAATTTTCCCTCCATCTTGCTGAAAATATGGATGGTTCTGCTTGATTAGACTTTGACATGTCCTGTGTCAGCACAGCTTTTATTTCACATGACATTTATACATATTCTAAAGACGGTAAATTTTCTCTGCCTGAAATTCATCCAAAATGAAGATCATTTTCTTCAGTCCCATAATGTGTTCCCTCTACTATCTTCTCTTCTCTTTCCTGTTTGTAGCCAGAACTTTGGGGATCAAGACTAAACATTTTTAGAAAGGCCCTTTCTATTCTTTGTTCTTTTGCAAAACAAACATTTGTGTTCCTATTTTGAACACTAGGACTATTTTGGTTATATTTACACCTTTGTAGATTTAGGAAATAGAAGCAGCTGCCAGGGGCTGCCCTTCTTTTGTTAGGTGCCTAACTTTGAGTGTACTTTCTCTTTGAGGCCACACAAATAATTAACCCTCAATAAAAAAAATGATCTCTTGCAAGTTGAACCGAATAGAAGGCTATAAGCAATCAGTGCACTAAGGAGTTGTCATTACAAATAACACCTTTTAAATATCCCTGGTTGAACTTAACCGAATTTTCCAAGGACTAGAGGGCTATATATGTATGTATGTCCATTCTTGGTCTGCTCCCTGCTTTTCCAATCAATTTAGGAAGTAGCCTCTCATTTGCATATTGTATTCATTTTTTTTATCTGCTACAATAAATTATCACACTCTTTGTAACTTAAAACAAAAAACACAGATTTGTTATTTTATACTTCTATAAGTGAGCACTCCAACATGAGTGTGACTGTGTTAAAATCAAGAGGTTGTAAGGGATGCATTCCTTTCTGCAGGGTCCAGGGGAGATCCTGTTTCCTATCTCTTTCCAGCTTCCACAGGCTGTTCACATTCTTTGGCTCCAGGCTCTCTTCTTCTCTCCTCAAAGCAAGTACAAGTGGATTCAATCCCTCTCACATCACATCACCCTGATAGATTCTGCCTGTGTGGGACTACACAGGTCCACCAAAAAAAATATTGAAAGACAATTTATTAGGAAATTTCATTTCATTTGCAAGCTTAAATTCCTTTAATCATGTTACTTAACATATTCAGTTTCCAGAGATTAAAACGTGAAAATATTTGAGGAAACATCAGTCTGCCAAATTCACATATTTTCTATAAGGCTGCAGAGTCTTCCTTAAATTGGAGACTGATAACAATGTCCGCTTGATTTTGCCACAAATGCTGCTAAACTGCATGTTTGCTTGCGTCGGCTTCAAAGTCAAATTCTATGACTTTGAATTATTTTATACATGGTTTCATAATGCAGAGTAAAGGTATATTCTGTCTGGCACTAAATATTTTTTTTATAAACAAAGAAATATTCAAAACTTCTAGATTATGATGGTAAAAAGTATATTAAAATTACTAGAAATCACTTAAAATCACCAAATTTAACATTAAAAAATGGATCTTGGAAGAGTTTCTATTTTTATTACATTTTCAATATGAAAAAGCATACCTTATTCTCCTTTATCTCATGATAATGAAATTTTTCACACAGCCTTCTAACCCATTTTTGAGTTTACTGTAAGAAATACTTAAAAAAATTTTAAATTTGTTAACAATATTTTCAACTCTTTGTAGTCAAGATCATTTAAGCTGAGTCTACACTGTTCCAGACCAAAATTCAGAATACTCTAGATGTGATGTTAATGTGGAAGATTCACCCTTGTGCCTCCCTTCACTCTGTTTAAGTTAAATCTGTGAACACAAACTCTCAAACCTTATGTAAATTGACTCAACATTTTGTGCTTCACTTTTCTCATTTGTTCAGTGGTGGTAATAATATTTTGGATCTGACAGTATAAGTTGAGAAATAAATAAAACACATAACCATGCAAGTATTTAGAAAGCATTAGCACAGAGTACATGCTCAAAAAATGTCAGATATCATTACCATCATCGTTATTAATGATATGAGACTTTAATTTCATCATCAGACCACTGGTGCCTTGTTTAAAGACTTCTTTTATAGCTGTATAAAATTTTAAAAAATAATTTTTAAACCCTCAAATGTTAAAGTTTTGAAACCACCAAAAATTATAAAAAAATTTGGTATAAATACCATAATAATCTAAGGAGTAGGTCAGGTTAAGGAAGAACAGAACATTCCTTGGGTATGATTGTCAAAATTGAAGACACATCTGCTTAAAAATCTGAGTTCCAAGACAGGCAGATAAAGGAACCTATTTTGTTTGAATGAAAACAGTTTTCATTACAAACAGAGAATAAAAATTGTCAATTCTTCAAAAGGAAATTTTAACTAGATAATAATATATCTGTGTAACTCATGAATTATTTAAGATTCTTTCCCAAATATGTCAGCTCAATATCTGGGCATTCAGAGGATATTTCTTTAAAGAAGTGATATTTCAACTAAACCCTGAAAATGAGAAAAAATTATCCAGGCAAGAAGATGAGTGTCCAGCATGAGATCCCAAATGAATGCTGTCAAATGTGAAATAGAGAGTCCATCTAAGGGGCAAGGGAAGACCTGGAATTCAGAGCAGAGAATGCAATTGAGTAACATAATGTGAGCCAGCAAACAATACAGGGCCAAGACATTAAGGACCTTCCAAGTCACCTGAGGAACTATGACCATTATTCTCAAACTCTAGGATACCACTGAAAAGCTATAAACAGGGGAGGTATTGGATAGAGTCCTAATACAGCATTACAATGTGGAAAACAAATGAATTGAGGACATAAGAATGAATCATAGAAAGTGCAGAAGCAGTTTCAGAAACAATACATTATTTCAAGTAAGAAGATGAAAGGTTTCAACTAGAATTGGGCAGTGGTAGACAGAGATGAGGAGAAAGAACCCAGATGTATTTATGTGGTACTCCCTACAGGATTGGTGGTTTATTGGATATAGCAGAATAAAGACGAAGGAAGATTCAAAGATGAAACCTTGGTTTCTGGTTGCTCAAATGGTTGGATAACTTTCTGTCACAGTGAACATTGGACTAGGAGCAGGTTTGGGATGAGTTATAATTTAAGTTTCAGGCTTTCATTTGGAAATTTTTAAAAATCCAAATAAAAGTGCTGAGTTGGTAATAAGAGTGGTCTAGACTGGAGTTACTGTCAAAGAGATAATCATTTAAGCCACAGAAGGTAAGAAATAACTTGCAGTCAGAGAATACTTGAGAGGAGAACAGGTTCAGAAAAGACTCAGATGGAAATACTTAATAGGCACTGCATGTTCAAGAAAGAGCAAACTAGGAGAGACTGAGTACAGAGTCATAGAGAATTGAAGTTAAGAAAGCAAGACATTTTAAAGCAAGAAGTAATGGTGAGTGGTATCAAATGTCGCTGAGAGACTAAGTTAAAAAGAGACACAATAACCCTTGAATTTAATGCTATGACACTCATTAATGAACTTAATGGAAGTAGTTTCAGAGATATGAATAAGAGTTTGCAATTATTTAAAGAGCTTTAGGGAGCAAAGAGCCTAGCCAACCATTTTAAGATATTCAGTTATAAAGGGGAGAAAAAAGTTAAGTTTATGTCCAGGGATAGGGTAATTGCTAATTAAGAAAAGCCTTTAGTTAATAAAAGGGGTGGGGGGAGCAGGTCAACACGCTTATAGATGATTGAGTACAGAAGGAAATACTTATTTCGGTGGGAAAATGAGTCAAAAGAGGGAAATTGACTTTGGATAGAGTCATGAAACTCTAATCATAATTGAGATGGACTTATTTTTCTATCATAGGAGTTGTATGAGTCCATCCAAACTCAATATTCTTTCTCAAATTCATAATCCTCAGAGCCCTGATACAATTTTGTAGTCCTCAAGAAATGATTCCTCTTGCCAAGAAAAAACTACAAAACACTTCTATATATTTATTCATCATATTTATTTCTTGTAAAATCCTTTATTGGTAACTAACAATGGTTTTTTATTTCCTTTTATGATTTTTTCTAGGAAGATTTCTACCTTATAATATCATTAAAGAGACATTCAGAGTCCAGTAAATTTTCTGTTACATAAAGTAAAGAATGGCATATAATTGGCAAACAGATCCAAAGCCTAATGAATCAGATGAAGAGCAGTCTGAACAGCAAGAATTTCACCTTGTAACCCAACCCATGCCTTCTAGACAGGTCCCTCTGGGTTTTGATCACCTAGTAGATGAGATCAGTAATAAAATTCCATTCTATCAGAATGAAATTGAAGAAAACACCTTTTTTGTGTCCAATGCACCAGACCAGGAAACAAAAAGGCATTCATTGGATAGAACACACCAAATATGCTTGAATGAATTCACTTCTGAAATCCCTGAATTCTCCTGGCATCAAGTTGGAAAAACATCAGCTATTGGTTTTAGTGCTTCTGTGCTACCAAAACCTCAAATCATGAATAAAGACAGCTCCTGGGAAAACTCCATAGGAAAATACCATGTTATTGAGGATTCCAAATGCAATATTTTAACTCCATCATCCACTAGTTTGGATAAAATTAATCCACAAAGAGTACTGGAAAATGAAAATCCTAACTACCATATAGGATTTGAAGGTAACCTTCCCCCTGTACATCCATCCTTCTCAACTGACATCATGCAAAAAGACGACAACAAAAGAAGTGGAAGCATGGACACTGTAGAACCTTCTCCAATATTCATTAAAGGCTCTTTTCTACCCAAGACGAGGGAAAACACAGGGCCCGAAAACATTGAGGTATGTGTATGCATGTGGATCTAAAATTATGAATGTGAAAGAGTCATTCAACAATGAATTAGATTAATTGGTAATGAAGGTAGCTAATCTTAAACAGAAATCTACCTATCTTACATTTGGAAAAAAATCATTTATTTTCACAAATTACATTTTCTTGAATTAATAACTATTTCTGGAAAAAAGAAATTTTTAGAAATTTCATTTCTTTTTTATTTATTTTTGGTAGTTACACATGACAGTAAAATGATCTTGACATATCATACATTTGAATCAGATGGGGTATAATTTCTCATTTTTCTGAGTGTACAGGTTGCAGAATCACATTGGTCATGCAGTCACGTATATACATTCAGCAATAATAATGTCTATTTTATTCTGCTGTCCTTCCTTTTCCCCCTTCCTCTCCTCTCCGCTCCCCTCCCATCACTTAGAAATTTCATTTCTACAGTCCCATTGTCATCAAAGCCAAATAAAAATGTTTCAGTACTTAGATAAACGAATGAAAATATCATAGTTTGAGGTTTAGCTGACAATATTATGTATTCTTTCTGCATTATGCATACACACATATTTCATTACATTTATATTTTGAGTCACACTATAATGATTTAAAATTTCATTATCATTATTGGTAGAAAAAATGTCCTTTTACCCAGAGACTCTTAAATTATATTATTGGCTGGCAACTTCTGTTGGGAGAATTCCAGGAGTAGGAAATTAAGTAATTATTGTGCAACTCATCTTAATAGTTTTATTAGCAGCTTTCCAATCATTTCAGTAACCATAGAGTTTTCTGTATAATATTTGAAGATTTCTGTGCTTATACTGAGTCTAGACATAAGTGAAGCCAGAGGTAAACAGTAAAAAGAAGAACTGCTATTGCAGCTGCAATTTAGAGGGAGAGGCAAAATAATTCTTCACTTATTCAATAACTTTATCAAACCCTTAAAGTATATAGTGATGTACTAGGAAAAACAAATGCAAAGAAGTAAAGTCATGATTATATGAATTCAAAAATAGCATACTGCTCAAATTAACTTGCAAACAAATAATGGCAACACAGTAAAATAACAGAAGGGGTGAGTGTCTGGAAGAAGAAACATCCAATTCTACCTGAAGCACTTGCACAGGAGGTAACACCTCAAATGACCTGAATCAAAAGTCAACAAATACTAAGGACATCTAGTTCTTTCCATGGCAGTGTAACAAGTACTAAATTTTCCCTACTGCTGAAAATAACTATAAACTTAGACAAAATATATGACGCAGCTGGTTGCAAGTATTGAACAACAGGCATTATAGAACATTGATCCTTCAGAAAAGTGAGACAGATGAATAATCTAGTTTCTGCCTGAGGGTGGTTTCTGCTGCTTTGCAGTCTGGTGGAGCCTTATTGAACAGAAATATCACACCAAGCTAGGGATGAAGCAGCAGTTGAAAGTTGCAGAAGTAGATGTGATTTGCAGGGTGGAGTGCTAGAAAAGAGGGAGCTGTGCAGTGGCCGGAGATCAGGATGCCACAGGAGATTTATTGCACCTCTTGGCCAAGTTTTGGGATGTGTTAGCAAGGCTCAGTAGATATTGTCAGCTTTTGACTGAGAAGTAAATGGTGATTGTTTTTGCCACATAAAGTAGAAGTTACATGATACAGAAGATATGGCAAAGCTAAAGAAAAGACTGAGCTGAGCACCTCAAGTATTACAATAAGAGTCCACAAAGCTATTTTCTAAGAGTAAAAGTCATGCTCAAAAGCAAACGCTACACCAACCAAAATGAATATGATTCAACAAAAATTTAAGGCTGACATACTTTTACCTGTCAAAATAAGTTTCTATATTTTATTTTTTTAAAAAATCACAATTCATAAGACACCATCTACAATACCTAACAAATAATTACAAATGCATAAATATGTAAAGAAGCCAGGAAGTTTGACCCAGAAAATAATACAATCAGTGGAAAGAGACTCTTGAGATGAGCCAGTTGTTGGAATTAATAGAGATTTTAAGGTATAATTACCTAAAAGCATATTTAAATAAAGTAAAAGATGTTCAAAATAGATAGTACAATGAGAAATCTTTTTTTATTGGTTGTTTAAAACATTACAAAGCTCTTGACATATCATATTTCATACATTAGATTAAAGTGGGTTATGAACTCCCATTTTTACCCCAAATACAGATTGCAGAATCACATCGGTTATACATCCACATTTTTACATAATGCCATATTAGTAACTGTTGTATTCTGCTACCTTTCCAGAAATCTTAACAAGAAATTAGTGACTATGAAAATTAAACAAAAAGAAATGAAATGCCAATTAAAGAACTGAAAATAGTATCTGTAATGAGAGTCATAGCATCTGCTTACAAACAGATGGGAAATGATAGAGGAAAGTAGTGAAGTTGAAAGTAAAATAGAAATTCCTGCATTGAAGAGAAAAATAAAAAAGCCATATAAAAATGAACAGGGATTCAGAGACTTTTGAGACAAGGAGCACAATTTATGAACATTTGGAATACTAGCAGAAGATAACAAATAGAGAGAAAATTAATTTGAAAAACTAATGGTCAGACAAGGGATTAATATCCAGAATATATAACGAACTCTAAAAATTGCCTGGTGAGGTGGCGCATGCCTGTACTTCTAGTTTGGGAGGTTGAGGCACGCAAGTTCAAAACCAGCCTCAGTAACATAGTGAGGCCCTAATCAATTTAAAAAGGGGTGGGGATGTGGCTCAGTGGTTGAACATCCCTGGATTCAATCCCCAGTGCAGGACAAAAAAAAATTCTAAAAATGCTTAACACCAAAAAGATAAAGCACCCAATCAATAAATGGACAAAAGAACTAAACAGACATTTTTCAAAAGAAATACAAATGACCATCAAATACATGAAGAAACACATTCAAAATCCCTACCAGTTGGGGAAGTGCAAATGAATACTACACTGAGATTTTATCTCACTCCAGTCAGAATGGGAATTATCAAGAATATAAGTAATAATAAGTGTTGGTGAGGATGGGGGAAAAAGGTAGAGTCATGCATTATTGGTAGGACTGCAAATTTATACAATTATTCTGAACATTACAATGAAGATTTCTCAATAGAACTAGGAATAGAACTACTACATGACCCAACTCTCCCACTCCCCAGTAATTATTCAAAAGAACTAAAAACAGTTTACTATGGCAAAACAGTTATGTCAGTGTTTATAACAACACAACTCACAATAAACAAGATATGGAAGCATCCCAGTGCCCAACAATAGATGAATGAATTAAGATAATATAGTTTATATACACAATGGAGTTTTTCTCATCCATAAATAAAATTATGATAAATGGATGGAATTAGAGAACATCATGCTAAGTGAAATAAATCAGACTCAGAAAATCAAATGTCAAATGTTCTCTCATCCCCTAACTAGAGCAAATAACGGGGGAAAATGGAGAGGGATCAGATATCATAAAGATAGGGAAGTCAGAGAAGTATAAGGAGGTTGAGAGGGAGGGATGGGAAAGAAGAAGAAATATAGAATAAATTTGACAAAAATTATGCTATGTGCATGTATAAATATTTCTGTATGTATTCCACCTTTATGTATATCTCTAAAGAACTAATTAAAATATGTAAATGAGAAAAAAGTAGTAAAGATCAGAAAAATGTCTCAACTTTAGTTGAGAGTATTCAATTATAGATCTAAGAAGTCCAATATATCCGAAACAGAATTCAAAGTTAACCACATGTAGACCTATTATATTCAAATATCTAAAACACAAAGTTAAAAAAGAGAAAAATCTTAAAAGGAAGCTGGGGGGAGAGTGGAGTAAAAATCTGAATGAAAACAAACTTCTCATAAGACACAATGGAAGCCAGACACAGGTGAATGATACTTTAAAGTTATTCAAAAGAAAAAATAAAAATGAATGCACACTTTTATATTCACTAAGTGTGTTTCAATATTGAAATAAAGACACTTCCATACAAACAAGTATCGAGAGAAGTTATTCAGCTAACATGCCAAGAGGGAGTACCAAAGTAAATGTTTCACACACAAGGTAAATGACAACAGATAGAATCCAGGAAGGGGGAAAGTGTGATCAAAATAGTAAGTGTGCTGAATAATACAAAATGCTACTCTTAATTTTTTAAGAGAGGTGACCAAATCAAAATAATTGCATGTTATAATGGGATTTATTGTATATGCAAAAATAAAATATATGGCAATAACAAAAAGCATGAGAGTAGGGTAAATGTCATTTTTGCTATCATAGATTTTAAAATTTTAAATGTATGTTACAACATTAATTCTAAATAAACTGAGATATATTAAGGATGCATATTGTTATCCTTAGAGTTAGCACAAACACTAAAAAACAATACAAAGAAACCAAGAAAGGAACTAAATGAAATAGGAAATATATCAAACTGAAAAGAGAGAAAAGGTAGAAATTCAATAGGAGAAACAAGTAGAAATAAATACAAATATAATAGTCTGAAATAGGACAACCTACATAAATATATTAAATATAAATCTTTCTGAAAACACATAAATTGAAAAACTAGATTAAAAGAGAAGACTCAACTACTGCCTGAAGCATATAAACTTAAGAAACAAGGGCACAGACATATTGAAGTAAAATAAACAAAACGACTTGACACTACCAAAGAATGACAACTGTTATGTTCATTAGTATCAGGAAAAGTATAGCTAAAGACAGAATGTAATTAGAGAAAAATAAATCATTTTGTAATGATGAAAGAGGCAATTAAGAAGAGATAATAAATGTAAATGCATATGTAGCTAATAATAAAGCTGCAAAATACATAAGGCAAACATGATCTCTTTTAAAAGCAGTCATATATGTACACTCTAACTGAACTATTTATGTATGTTCCCAAGAAGTGAAGCATATGCCCAAATAATTACTTATATATGAAATATATAATAGTTTTCTTTACAATATTTAAAAGCTAAAATAACCCAAATGTTCATCAGTAAGAAGAATAACAAATTGTGGAATAGTCACACAAAGAATTGCTACTAATTCACAATAAAAATGATGAACTACAGATATGTATTAGATTATCAATACATTTCAAAAATAGATGTGATTTAAGAGACAAAAGCCCAAACAAGAGAACATATACTTCTAATCCATGATGATAAAAATCTGATAATAGTAGTTACCAAATAGATTTGCAGATGAATGTAAAGGAGATGTGTGGGAAATGTTCTATATTTTCATCAAAGTGTTATGTAGATTCCTCAAAATTCAAATTATATTTCTAAAAATTTATGAATTTTTCTATATTTAATATTACCTCAATAAAATATCTGAATAAAATTAAAAATAAAATTCAAATAAATATTTAAACAGCTCAAAAATTCTAGAATTGTATTCATCTTTTCTCTATATAGAACTATATTAATAAGGCAGTTTTTATTTTAAGTCTACAGATTGTTCCATTCAAATCATCGAAGTAACTCAAGGCACTAACACGACCCTGACCTCCTTTTGTGACAAAGTTAAAAAGTGAGTATTGCTATTTCATTAAATTTTGAAGTTTCTAAATTTAATGAATGAATTTGTCTATTTTTATAATACGAAACTGATTAATTTTGCATATAAAATGTCAAAGTTCTGTAACTTGCAAATATAGTGAAATATAGAAATTCTTGAAATCATTAATTGACCTCTATTGTTTTTATGGTCTGATAGACATATTTCTGTTTGAAAATTCAATTAAAGTTAAATGTTTCATAATTTCAGACTAGCTCTTATTGTTTGTTGATAGTTTGATTTGTACTAAATTAACTTCTCACTTAATGACAATCATTTTGATTCTTCTATCTAAGACCGAAATGAACAGATTAACCTTTTTACATGGTACATTCTGTTTAGAATTGAGTGAATGCCTTCCTCATGTTAGCTAAATTTTATCTTGATTGGATGACCAGAATTTTAAACATCTTAAATGAATGTGTGTTTGTCCTGTGAAAACCAAATTGATTACTAGAGGATATTAACAAATATGCCATTGATCTTTTTGCTAATCTAAAAATGAATCTATGATGTAAAGATAGATTTTTTCAAAGACAAATTTCTTATTAGTGATTAAAATTTATATAATTCTATCTGTCCTTTGCTAAGTTTTGAAAATTTAATTCATTAGCAATTTATTTGTTTTGTTTTTCATCCATTGATGGCTATTATTTTAAATGTACTAAATATACATGTTTGGGTTAGAGATTTGAGTCATTTATTTAATGGTTAGTTTAAAGGCTATTTCAGTGTGAATATATCAGAGAAAATATTTGGTATTTGTTTTTTTGGGGATCGGCTGACTTCACTTAGCATTATCTTCTCCAACACCATCCATTTACCTGCAAATGCCATAGTTTTGTTCTTTTTTAATGCTGAGTAAAATTCCATTATGTATATATGCCACTTTTTTTTATCCATTCATCCACTGAAGGACATCTAGGTTGGCTCCACAGTTTAGTTATTGTGAATTGTGCTGCTAATAACATTAATGTGACTGTGTGCCTGTATGAAGACTTGAATTGGGTTTCAACATACTTTATATACAAACAGAGATGCAAAAATTGTGGTATATATGTGTATTAAGAATTGTAATGGAAATAAGAAGAAGAAGAAGGAGAAGGAGAAGAAGGAGAAGGAGGAGAAGGAGGAGGAGGAGGAGAAGGAGAAGGAGAAGAAGGAGGAGGAGGAGGAGGAGGAGGAGGAGGAGGAGGAGAAGGAGAAGGAGGAGAAGAAGGAGAAGGAGAAGGAGAAGGAGAAGGAGAAGGAGAAGGAGAAGGAGAAGAAGAAGAAGAAGAAGAGCATTACCTTAGATTAGGTAGAGGGAAGTGAAAGGAGGGGAAGAAAGATAATAGAATGAAACAGACATTATTACTTTATGTATTTATGTGACTGTATGACCAATGTGATTCTACAATATATATACTCAGAAAAATGAGAAATTATATCCCATCTATGTATGATATATCAAAGTATATAAGTGCATTCTACTGTCATATAACTAATTAAAACAATAAAAAAAACTGCAAAACATCATTAAAAGAAATTTTTTTAAAAAATAGTTATTTTTTAATTTCTTGCTCAGGTTTAAAGTCATCAATATCTATTATTTTGGAAATACACTAATCCCTGTAATAAAATTGCTAGAAATTTGCCACTTTAAGTCTAAATTGTGGTCATTCCTACCTGTTAAGCATGAGAAATAGCTCTCTTAATACTATAAGACATCATTCCTTGGTATAACACACTGACAGAGCACTTATTATGAGCTCATCTGGCAGCTTTTTTTTGTTCTTAAAGCATACTTCTATATTCTTAGGTCAAATCTTATAGATGAAGTAGTAACATAAAAATGTTTTATATGATGTTATGTTAGTAACTTATTTTGGTGCATTTTCCAAACTCTTAAATATACTTTTTATCAGTGGTGTTTTCTGCAATAACCATAAGAACTAAAACAATCAAGCATTAACCTTAGAGTAGTGAAAAGGAGACATAGGTTATGTTCAAACTTACTTTTCTCAGTCTATAATAACTTTTATTTAAAAACAGTCATTTGTAAAATGATTAAATGTTTATATACATAGTTACATTATACACAAACATACTATTCATTCATTAAATATTTTTGAGGATCCACTATGTGCGGGGCATTTTTAATTCAAAAGGAGATGAAATTGAATTTAAAAGCCAAGCTACACAAGAAGTTTATCAAAACCAGGAAAGTCATAATAGAACAGATTTATATATCTAATTACACTTATTTTTCCTAATACTTAAATAAGCATACTTCAATATGTTATTCACATTTCTTTTCTACTCCTTTAGAGAGATTTTATAATTTGTTGGCTTTGGTTTCTTATGACATACTTTAAAGCCAGCTCTTTTAAGAAATTGAAACATTCTTACAAAGAATGTTATATAATACTATAGCATATGCATGTTTCTGATCCACAGAAGCTCCTCAACAAAGGTTTACAGAAGATTGAAACACAAATTTACATTTTAAATTTAATTTCCCAAATGGTTTAAGCTGAAATCCTGAATGCATTGAGTAGTACCACATCAGAGAGTAAATGCTAGTCCTAAAGCCTCTCCAACCAGGATTCCAGTCTAGACCTTTGTGGTAGGGAGTAACAAAGGAGAGTGGCCCCCATATTTATGCTGAGCCATGGCTCTCAAACTGCACTGCCACAGCAGCAGCAGCAGCAACTGATTTGAGAACTTAATTTTAGGGTAAGTTTGGGGCCCTTCACAGATATATTGAATCAGACTCTGTGGGAATGGGACCCAGAGCACAAGTAGATACTAATGTAAAACAGGCCCATTGAGTGACTATGCACTTGTCCATCAATCAATAGAGACAATATTTCAATGGAATCTGAAGAGTTAAACTATGAGCTACTTTAAGGGCTGGACACTATTTTAGCACTGCATAAATATAGTGAATGCTAAGAATGCAAAGTATAATATAGAATGTATAATTTTCCATTTAGAAAGAGGCTAGGTAACAGAATAATTGACACTAAAAAACCCTGCAATTACATTTTCATCATCAAAAGCTTTTTAAATGTCTACTTGTGTTTTAGTCAGCTTTTTCACTGCTGTGACTAACAAACCTGATCAGAACAACTGTAAAAGAGGAAAGTTTTATTTAGGGGCTCACAGTTCAGAGATCTCAATCCATAGACAGCAGACACCATTTCACAGGCTCAAGGTGAGGTAGAACAAGACGGCAGAAGAGTATAGCCAAGGGAGCAGCTCACTTCTTGATCAGGAAGCAGAGAGAGAGATTCCAAGCTCCAGATACAAATATATACCCCATAGCCACGCCCCCAATGAACTGCCTCCTCCAGCCACACCCCACCTGTCTCCAATCACCACTCAGTTAATCCCATCAAGGATTAATTCACTGATTAGGTTAAGACTCTCACAACCCAATGATTTCTCCTCTGGACCTTCTGGTATTGTCACAAATGAGCTTTGGGGGACAACTCACATCCAAATTATAACAACTTATAAATATGTTTATATTATTCTACATGTGGACATAAAACATATATCTACAAGAATTAAGTTATAGTAATATACAATGATAATTATGCTACTTTACATTGCTCCATACTCTAAAATTTTACATGGCTTTTCTTTTTTAACCCTCACAAGAAGTCTTTGAAGTAGATATTAACCCCCACTTTAGTGCAAAGTAACTAGTCAACTAAATTGCCTCTGGCAATTACTAAGTGGAGACATCAGGATTCAAATTCAAGTCTTCTGCTCCAAGAATAAACTATTTTGCAATTCCTTGACTTGTTTATGTAATAAGTAATTGTTTAGAATAGATGCATGACTTCTAGGCTTGATTATTTGTGGAAAATCCAAAAAATCAAAGAAAACAAAAAGACAAAACTAATGTTTATAAATTAGACACAAATAAGGGAATTTATTTACCAATATCTCTAAATCCAAATGAGTGACTTGTACTTTGACAACACTAGGCACGAGAAAAATCCGAGGGGAGGAATTCAGGCATCAAAAGCAAAGGAAATGATGCAAGTAATAATGTTCAGAGTGAATTGTCATGTCTTACATTTATGAAAATGTACTCTTAATTATTTCAAATGAAGAGCTCTGGGGAAAGCCTGGAGAACAGAGCTTCACACTTGTTCTTGATACAAGTGTAATCTCTACCAACTGACCCAAGTGAATGCACTGTACTACAAATTAGTAACTGAAGGTTTTCATGTTTTAAATTTTGTAAAACAAAACACTGCAGAAGATCTTTACAATTACTTTGTGAATGGTACTTTTAAAATGAAATCATGCAGATCTTGTCCTAAGCATTTTTCTTCCATATACTTTTCAGACTGAGAGAGGCATATCATGCAGCTGACATGAATTCCAACTCTGGAAGGATCTGGAGCGTCACTACATCATTCCCATTTCAGCTATTTTCTAACACCAAGTTCAATATAAATATTTTGGCTGAAAATTCAGCACAACTACTTCATCTTATGCCATATGGTAAGTAACTTGTAATTAAATATAAAAATCTTCATAGAGCTGGTATTGATAGCCTTGAAATTATTAAATGCTGCTACAAACATTGATGTGGCTGCAACACTATAGTGGACAGATTTTAAATCCTTTGGGTATAAACTGAGGAGTGGGAAAACTGGGTCAAATGGTAGTTCCATTCCAAGGTTTCTAAGGAATCGCCATACTGCTTTCAAGAATGGTTGCACCGATTTGCAGTCCTACCAGCAATGTATGAGTGTGCCTTTCCCCCCACATCCTCACCAACATATATTATTACTTATATTCTTGATAATTGCCATTTTGACTTGAGTGAGTTGGAATGTTAGTGAAATTTAATTTTCATTTCTCTAATTACTAGAGATGTTGAACATATTTTCATTTCTTTCTGAATATTATTCAGAATAAGTATTACCATCTTTATTACCATAAAGAAGAATGAAATTATGGCATTTGCCAGTAAATGGATGGGACTGGAAAATATCATGCTAAGTGAAATAAGCCAATCCCCCAAACCCAAAGGCTAGATGTTCTTTCTGATATGTGGATACTAACTCATAACAAGGGAGGGTAGAGGGGGGAAAAACACAATTCATTGGATTAGACAAAAGGGAATGAAGGGAAAGGTCTGGGGGGCGGGGGATGAGAACAGGAAATGACAATAGAATGACATAACTTTCCTATCCTTATATATAAATACACAACCAGTGTAACTCCACATCATGTAAAACCTAATTAGAATAATATATACTCCATGTATGTATATTATTTCAAAATACATTGTACTGTCATGTATATAAAGGAAAAATATAAAAAATATAAAAATAAAAGGACAGAAACTTTAAAAAAAGAAATCAAAAAATTGCCCTATGAGATACTGTTTTACTCTCAAATGAAATAAGAAAAAAATAGGTGAGAACATTAGTTAACATTGGAGGTGGGAAAGGAGAGGTATGGTCTTCTAGAACACTCTTCACATAGCTCATCCTAAAACATTTTATTTTCCTACTACAATACTTAATAACAAGTATGGAAAATATCCATATTTTTTAAATCTATATTTCAAAAAGATTAGAAATAAAAGGAGATATAAGTGAAAAATGATCATTCCTATTCATTAGGAACAACTATTTCATTCAAAATGAAAAATTGTGAGATAGAATAAGCACTGGTACAAAATTTCTATCCTCACAGTGAGAAGATGTCTAACAGTCCTCTGCATCCCACCTCAACTAGATTTAGCAGATATGTTGACTAAGTGTCTGTGAGGATAAATCCTACAAATTTGTTTTTTTATGGAACTCATCTGATGGTCTTTACTTTTTCACAGTTGTAGAATATCTTCAAAGAGTTTAAATATTTTATTTCATTGTTTTAGTTGACTATTTTGCAAAACAATATCAGTTCTTTAAACATTTAGTAGCGACTAAATGTGTTTTTATGTGTCAACAGGAAATTATTTCCTGACACATAATAATCCAAGAAATATGTTCTTTTATTTGCTGATTATATTTATGATTATGCTTTCCCCTGGCTTACTCGATTCATGTTTCTGAGCAAGTACAGATGACTACAAACATAGCAATGTTATGTTGGTATACTAGTTAGAACCATCTGGTTTCAAACTAACAGAAACCAACTCCTGCTGGCTTAAGCAGAAAGAAAACATTTTTTAAAGAACATGGGGGTTTCTTATAGAATTTAAAAGTAGGATCTCATCAAATTAGGAATGCACTAAAACCACAAATGACCAAGTAGCCTCAAATCCCTTTATGCCCCTGACCTAATTTCCCTGTATAATTGCTGCCCTGTCTCACTTGCTCTCTGCTGATTCATTCTCTTGATTTTGCAAAACAATTAAAAAGCCAAGCTTACTAGCATATGTGCTATTTGGCCAGCCATCTAAAGATAGTTCCATCTCTCTATTAGATCCATTCCCAATCTGGAACAGCAGGATTCTGATTGCCCAGTTAAGACCAATGGTTCGTACCTTGATCCTATCAGAATGGACATGTCCAGGTCATGTTGACCTCAGCTGCTGGAGAAGAGGAAATACTTATCAATTAAGGAGCTCACTTCTGTTCTTCAAAGTTATAATATTTAATTTTCAACATATCTCTTAGTATGAAGTTGACAAGTCAGTAACATCTTTTATGAGAAGTTTCAGCAAAGTGATGAGGTTATTGTATTTAGTATTGAAGAGGCAAAGTGGTCAAGAGGATGTAGGAGCCCTAAAAGATGTTAAAACTCTAAGGAGGAGGAACAGGAATGTTGGGTAGCTAGTCCTCCATGAACAGATAGATAGGGTGAAAGGACAATGAAGGAACACTAAAAATCACAAGTAGCCTTACCTAACATACAAGCATCTGGAAGATGGGAGTCTTGTATGTCAAAATCTCCCCCAGCCTTAATTAATTACATCCCCTTTAAAAAAAAGTACCATTTCAGGACTATGTCATCATTATCTATCATAATCCAGTCTCCAGGACTCACTCTTATCACCAAAATTGTGTCACAGTCCCCAATCACTCTGGTAGCCAAAATATCAAGAACCTCTTGAATAAAATTTAATGGGGATGTTCAAAGGATAATGAACTGATTTAAGTAGACAGGAAATTGAAACAAAACAGGTGGTCTCAATCTCCTCAAAAACTTCAATTCTGTGAGCACCCCACACCATCTTCCTTGTAGGCGATCAATGAAGTTCCTATGCTGTCTGTCAGAGGTCAAGGGGGACGTTGTCAGGACTCTCTGGGCGTATTCCTGGGGCACCTAATAAAACTGAAATCTGGAGTCCTAGAAGGGCATGCAGCTCTCCTAAGAGGACCCACTTTCTCCGTGAAGAGTGTTCCCTTTTCCTAACCCTTCTATTAAAATCATGCTTGTCACTCTGAGTGAGATATGTGAAATTGTTCTGGCCTATCACTAGAATCGGGATTTGAAGAAGAGACTCCACAGCTGCCTCAGCTTTGCAGCAGGCTCTACCCTATAATACGAGTAGGGATGGAGGAAGGTGACTTAGAAAAGCATTAATAAAAACATACAGAGTAGATTTTTGCCATGGTTTGGAGGAAAACTTTTTATCTACTTACTTAAATTTAAATGGTTGAGGGTGTCTATGGAATAACTGGCAACAGAAAAATTAACAGAAGAAAAAACATATGCAAGTACTTGGGGGTTACTCAACAGTGAATAACTGAATATCCAGAAGTAAGTGTGTTATATCAATTAACAAAATGGAGGGGTTTTAGGACTTCAATAGGAAGCATATAAATATAGATATATAAATATATAGATGTAGATATAGATATATTTTTTAATGTTAATGAATGGGAAGCTTGTCTCCTCAGAATTTGCAGGAAATTCTCTCTAAGGAGAGGTAAATGGAAGCTATATTTCATGGGGTTTCTGCTTTAGTCAGATAAGAAAAGTTCAGATAAGATTTAAAATATTTTTTTTTTTTTGCTTTACACCAAAACTGCTACTTTCATCAATTTTATACTAGTGCTTCGCTGGTGTTACAGATGTTCCACAAAAGAACAGAAGTCTGAAGGATGCATTAAGAATAACTTGAGTGAAAGATAAAAGCTGTCAGTAGAAATGCAAGAAAAGATGAAATCTAGATAAGTGGAGCAGATAAGTGAAGGGTTTTCATTCAGAGGAAACTCATTTCTCCAAGACTGAGAAAATGGAGTACTTTGAAAGAATCAGGATCTTTAAACAAGAAATTCTCTGGTCCACAATTCTCAACTATCATTTTGATGAATATGAAGTTATTTCCAGTTCCAAAGTTGCTCTAGGCCAGTTTTCTTACTTTCAAGTACCTCCCAGCTTTAGATAACCATTGGTTGAACTCTGTATCAGGAAGTTATTAGTGACCCTCAAAGGGTTGTAAATAGAAGTCTATCTGCAAGAATTGAAGATTGACTAAGAACTCTTGGCAGAAGTCTCCTCTTTAAAGAAATTTGGCAGTAAAGGGAAGGTAAAAGAAATGATATGACAAACAAATAGAATGGATAAGGGGAGATTTTATTGGAAGGTTGAACAGAAGCACTTCATTATGGAAAGAGAAAAATATCTTTAAAGAATGGAATTTAAATAGGTAAAAGAAAATTGGGGGTGGTCATTGACAGAATAGAATTGTAACCCAGTGTAGGAAGAAGGATCACAGTTGAAGGAGTAAATGTTTATTAAAAAGAGAGAGAGAGAGAGAGAGAGAGAGAGAGAGAGAAAAGAGAGAGAGAGAGAGAGAGAGAGAGAGAGAGAGAGACTTCTACCTCCAAAAGAGGTGTGAAGGTACAAAGGAGGAAGAGTGGAAAATTAGACTTGAGGTATACAGTAATATAATGAAAGAATCTTAAGGGCTCTTAGCCATTAGTAAGGTGGGTGATATGGTGAAGACAGTGGGAAGGGCTGCATGGAAAAAAGACTATAAGAAATTAGGGAAAGGATTTTTTTAAGTGGTGGCTTACAAGATGGATAAGAAATTTAACTCATGGGTTTCATGGTTGACTTCAAGAAGAAAAATGGTGTTTTCAAGCTCAGACATGCTGAATTTGAAGTAATAGTGAAACATCCAGTGACTAACCTGGAGCGCGTAGTAGGAGGTATCAAACTGTTGGAACTCAGAAATTTATTCTCCAGAGGATGGCTCCTTGCCCTGCTGAGTCCTGTGAACTGATGGAGATTGGAAGGGCTTCAGAAGCTGAGTGCTCTGACCTGCCTTTCATTCTCCTCTAAGGCAGGCCATGGAAACTAGAACCCCTTTCCCCAAAGCCAGCCATAAAACTTACAATTATTACTCTCACGTTCCTTTCCCTTTCTGAGTGAGAACAAGCCATAAAGAAATTCTATGCCCTATCATATTGGATAGTAAATTTAAGACCCTCATTTCCAAAAGGTATCCTGCCCCATATGTTGGAGAATGGAATGCTACACAGAAAAGCCAAGAAATCAAGAGGCAAGCCTTGTTGCATTTCCTCACCCAAAATTATCATTAATTCCTACCATTTTTGTCCAACCACAAGTCCACATCACTGTCATAACACAAAAATGTGGAGAGTTTTCCTGTGTCTTTGAGTTTTCTTTTCAGAAGACTCCTGTGTCACATAAAACCTTGATTTAAAATAATATTATGTTTCTTTTCTTGTTATCCTCTCTTTTGTAGCAGTGTTGGTCATGAACTTTATGGTAGGGAAGAAAGGTATAACATTTTTTTTTGCCTCTACGAATCCAAGGCACAGGAGAGAAGAGACAGGTAGAAATTGATACAAAATATTTCATATGACAAAGTAATAATCCATACATGCCCCATATAGTATAGGGGATATGGTCCTGGAAAGAGTGGAGTCAATATTTTGTTTCTTTTTGGTGATACTGAGCTCGAACCCAGTGCCTCATGCACCAAAGCAAACATTCTACCACTGAGCTACATCCCCAGTGGAGAGTCAAATTAATTAATTAAGACTCTAATACAGGTGCCTTTGGAGATAGTTTGCTGCCACAATATATTGCCAGTTCTCACTCCTCCTTATCAAAGTCATTATATTTTAGGATTTTTCCTATGGCCATATTCACTACTAGCTTCAATTCATAACATTTCATGCCATTTCAGACAATATTTCAAACGTGTGGTGGGTTTAAGACATTTTTCTCATGTCAAAGCATTTCCACCATCCATAATTCTCTGATGATCTTTACAATTTTTTGTCCAACCATTTCTTTGATAGCATCTTGACCAATCATAAAGCCATACTTTAAATCCAGAATGATATAATTTCTTTTTCTTTGTGGCAGCAATATCTCTTGCACTACATTTTCTTAGCCAAGTTGAGCCAAAATCCTCTTCCTACAAACAAAAGATATGGCAGTAAAAGAAGTCACAGAAAAGAGAACAAATAATTGTGACAAAAGCTGAACTCTGACAAATGCTATTGACCATTTGCAGGATGCTGTACGATTCTTACTGGCTATGGATTATCAGTAAAGTCCACTGCAACTTCTTCCATTGACCTAGATGATGAGATCACAATTGAAACATGGGCTTAACACTTTTCAATATATTGCCAACATTTGTCTTTTTTTATGTTAGACATATCAGATTCCTGAAGGAAATAAACCATACAGTTATAAACCTTTGTCAACAGATGAAGAAACTGGGTCAAAGGTGAAATAACTTTTCTAGGTGCATCAACTGAGAAGTAATAAATCTATATTATTTCCAGGTCTTACTGTCAGAAATTGATAAGCACATGTTAATTGTTGTAGAATTGTTTTGTACTGATAGTAGAACTTCTTTTATGCAAAGCTACAGTGTACCAAGGGTTTTAACAAGAGGAACATAATATCTAACTTTGTTATGTTTCATGAAAACAAAACTGATTAAAAGAATTTCAAACAACATTTTCAAATATATCTCTAAATCTAACCTGACTAGTAAATGAGATGCATCTCATTTTAATTCCTCTTGATGGAGCTAGACAGATAAAATATCTTATACAGTGTTTGCCATTTTTTTATGCTTAAAAACTTTCCCAGCCATCCTTTGATAAGTTCTTAATGACCTATTATTTACCTTTTGTTTTTAGCTAATTATCTTGTCAAAGACCTAATTGAAGAAATTCTCCATTTATGTGCAAATGACCAGCTCTCCCCCAAAGACCATCTTCTAAGCATATGTGGCTCTGAAGAATTTTTACAGCTGTAAGTATCTTATTAAAGTAAATTTTCATTATTGTTATGACCTGTAAGTGTTAAATAGCAGTGTTATTAATTTTTGAAACGGATTTTATGCTAACATTATGCTCTTTGGGGGAAGGAGGTGCTGGGGATTGAACCCAGGGCCTCAGGCATCCTAGGAAAGCACTCTATCACTGAGCTATATCCCTAGTCCTCAATATTCTTTACCTGATAAAATTAAAACTATTTTATAAATCATATTGCTAGTCTTCTTCTTGGTCTTGTTTTTGTATTACATGTAGTTATGGTAATAGTTATTTAAGTGAACTTGGCCTGAATGTACAATCATCTATTTGCCCAGGATTGAAGTGATTCCAAGAACATGGGAACTTTAGTTTTGAATCCAAGATAGACCTAGGCAAACCAGGATAGGTTTTTCACCCTACCTTTAATAAAGCTTATTAGGATTGATCACAGTTAATAAAATAAATTTCTCCAAAATAAATAATTTTTTTTGATTTGCAATAATGCTAGCATGTTAATCAATTACTGACCTTAATAAATCACAGGAGATTTCAAAATGAACACTATAGTATTTCTATAAAACCATGAGTTTTTAAATATCTTTCATTTCTTTATTTAGGTGATTTATTAAACAATTAAAGAAGTCAATTCTCATGAATATTCTCTTCAAATATTTATTTGATGGAAACTAATTTTTTAGTTTACTACAATAAGCCATTTGCCTGAAACTCTTCAGAGACCAATCTTGAAATTAGCAAATAGTTTTAAGAAAATAAACATCTCCCTAATGGATATTGTATAGTTATTCTAAAGATCAAAGTATTAAGGATTAAAATGTTCAGTAGAGAGTATTGTCATTTATGTATCTCTTTTGCATTTCTACAAGTATCTAACAATTAGATAGATATGCTATAGTGTCAAAGAAGTAGAAATGTATTTCTTTTGGGATTCTGGAACATTGTCACTGTCATTATTCTACTATGAATGTTCTTGAAAATATCTTATGGATAGTTTGGAGCGTTTGATGATTTTATTAACAGAAAATCTAGTCTTTTAGTGTATAATGTAAACTGTGAATGATTTTCAATAACTTTTTTCATTTTTGTGTTTCCAATTATAGAAAAATAATAAGAAATATATATATGAAATCACAGATGTTTTGTTGCACAAAGCTCAGAAATGCCACTTTTCTTTTTTTCTCTATTAATCCACTAATTAACACACTCAGTGATTAGGCCCTGACTTTTCCCCAACAGTTTTGGCAACATACCCAATGAGTGCAGTAAAAGTATTTTAGTAAATTTAATCTTATACTTACTACTCATTAAAACTCATCTTTGGAATATGCACATTTCCAAATGTATACCTGGACTTTGGTTGATACCAAAATGTTAGAACCAAAAAACAAGAAACATTATCAATTATTTGCACTAAATTTAAGCAGTAAGAAATATCCAGAAAACAGAGAAAAACTTGAAAAAGTGAAGAAATTTTACAATGGACCTTTATTTAAGAACTGTTTCAAATAAGTAAATCATCCTTAAATCTCAATCATTGACTGATAAAAATATTATAAAGATTATCTTACTCTTGTTTCTTTTTAATATGATTTCCTGTAAGTACAATGTAATAATTTTTAAATGTTTTTATATTTTTAATACCATTAAAATTTGATTTAGCTGGGTTTTATTAAGATAAAGTATTCAAATATTATGATGGGTTAATTATAATCAATAATTTGCCTAATGGGGATAAAAGGATTTGTACATATCTGTGATTTACTCACTATATAATTGTAAAAGCCTATCTATATAGATATAACCTATTTTAATAAGCATAATAGCATTACTGGTCTTTCTCACATTTAAAAGAGTACACATTAGTCATTTAGATTTTATTTTTTCCATTTATATATACATAATTTGTTTAATAAATATGTCCTTATAGATTTGGAAAAATCTGTGTGAAAAATTTCCAAAGAGGGAACACAATAATGTGCATTGTATTAATAATCCAATTAATCAAAATATACACTCTAAACTTATGCTAAACATTGTCTGGAGCATTCAATAGACTAAGGTTGCAATAATAATAATTGTTATGGGGAAATAAAAGCTTTCCATAACATGTAAAATAATACATGACAACCAAGCCAACACTACAAAAAACACTTAAAGATAAATTGCTCACAAAGAAACCCCAAAATAAATCCCCAAACTCCCAAATAAATTAAGATCAATGGAAGACTGATCAGCCAAATGAGATTTATGATAGAATTAAATATAACAAAAAAATGAAAATGGAAGCATACCAAAAAACACATTTCTATAATAACACTGAATATAAATGGTCTCAACTCCCCAAACATAAGACGTGGATTGGCAGAATGGATAATAAACAGGATATATATATATATATATATATATATATATATATATATATATATAGAGAGAGAGAGAGAGAGAGAGAGAGACTCATCTCAGAGGCAAAGACACTTATGCACTAAAGGTAAAAGGATGGAAAAAATGTCATATGTAAATGGAGTTCATAAACAAGCCAGAATAGTTATTCTCATAGCTGATAAAGCTGATTTCAAGCCAAAATTAATCAGAAGCAACAAAGAAGGACTTTATATCCTGGTAATGGTAACATTCCAACACAAAGATATAATAATAGTAAATATATATGTCATACTAATGTCATACTTTTATATTTTAAAAATACTCCTTGACATTAAATCCCATATAGACCTAACACAATAATACTGGGTGATTTCAACACATCCTCATCGCCAACAGACAGGTCATCAAACATAAAACCAATAAAAATATATCTACCTAAATAATAATATAATATAAATCAAATGGACCTAATAGACATACACCGACTATTTCACCCCAAAACAGTTGTGAATTTACCTTCTTCTCAGCAGCTTATGGAATTTTTTCCAAAAGAGATCATTTTAGGTACAATTCTTAGCAAATACAAATAAATAAGTAAAATAAAATCAATATAATCCCATGTATTTCACTGGACCATAAAGGAATGAAACTAGAAACCAAGAAAGATAATAGGAACCTTATAATCACATGGAAGTTGAACAATACGATTTTGAATAAAAAATAGATCATGGAAGAAGTGAGAGAAGTAATAAACAAATTATATGAAACAATTGAGAACAGAGATACAACATATAAAAATCTTTGGGACAGTATGAAAACAGTTCTAAGAGGAAAATTTGTAGCATCAAGTGTCTACATTTAAAAAAAAATACAGAGATCCAAAATAAGTAAGCTTATTCTCCAACTAAAAGTCTTAGAAAAAGAACAACAAACTAACTCCAAAATCAGTAGAATATAAGAACTAATAATGATCAGTGCCAAAATTAATGAAATCGAGAATTTAAAATCAATACACAGGATCAATGCAACAAACAGTAGGTTCTTCAAAGTGCTAAATAAGATTGGTGAATCCTTCTCCAAACTAACCAAAAGAAAGAGAGAGAAAAGGCCCAAAGCAACAAAATTATAGATTAAAAAAAAAAAGATATCACCACAGACATTTCAGAAATCTAGAGGATAATTAGAAACTATTTTAAAAATTTATACACCAATAAACTACAAAATTTAGAAGCTACTGGCAGATTTCTATACACATATAAGCTGCCCAAATTGAACCAGGAAAATATAGAAAACATAAACAGACCAATATCAAGTAATGCAATTGAAACAGCATTGAAGTCTACCAACAAAGAATTGCTCAAGACCAGATGAATTCTCAGCTGAGTTCCACCAGACCTTTAAAGAATAATGTTAACCCTCTTTTGCTTCGCTCCGGGCAGAAAAGGTGAATGTGTAATCAGCAGTCGATTGTAAGTACCCTAGGCAAAGAAAGCTCAGTGCGCCCTGCCTTTTTTTTTTTTTTTTGAATATTTTTTATACAGGGAGAGTTTGTGGGTTGGGATCGTTGGCTGGGCTGCGGTTTCTGTGCCAAAGATCCACTCCACGGGAGCCGCCATTTGCTTTCTGCCGGCTGTCTTGATGGCTATGGCTACATTGTCCGGCAGCCGAACCTAGAGGTTAGAGCTGGGCTGCGTGCCGAGCCCTGTCCTCCAAAGGCTGGACCGCAGCCTTGAGCGCCTGGGTCGCCTGTTCGCCGCTGCACCCTCAGGCAGAGCCTGCTCTGGGGTCGTTCTGCATGCCCCTGCGAGGGGACCCGTGCTTCAGAGGAGGGAGCCGGAGAGCCGCGGCGGCAGCCGCTTGGGCCCCGGGGGCTGACAAGTGCGGCGCCCCTGAGCGTGGCCCCGGGGAAGAGGCGATGGCGGCAGGGTTTAATTTCTAGAAATCTGGACTGGAAACAGAAGCAGCAGTTTGTATAATCCCAAGAACTTGCTTATGCCAGGAAGCTGTAAGGGCAACATGAATATCATTGAGGAGATCTAACATGGCAGCGGGCGGGGAGAGATCAAGTCTCTGACCTCTTCAACTGCGCGGGCATAGGGAGCTGTAAATTGTATAAATGCTGTTTGCTCAGGATCACTAGGCAATGCTGAGCTGACGTGGATCTGGGGTGTACAGTCTGGGCCCCTCAGAACACACACACCAAGCCCAGATCGGCTGAATTCAAGCTCCGGTTCGCCTTCTTCTCGTGACTCAGCACTAACAATCCTGCTGAAATAACTGGTTGGCCCTTAGGAACTTTCAGAGGTAAAAACCAACCGAGCCTTCATAGGCAGTGGCCACAGGATTGAAACGGGGATTGGGAGAGACAGTCAGGACCCACCCGTCGCATTGGTCACCCGGCAAAGGGAACGAACGGTCACCATTTACATGTGATACCACCTTGGTAGAGAACTGACGTCACGGGCGGAGGAGATAACTGCATTGAAACCAGCGCAACAGGGCTCACAGGAGCAGCAGACATGGCGTGTAGCCAGTATTGTGGTGAGCATCACAGGTGAGCACGGCCTGGCTTGAGGAAACACAAGAGAAGGCCCTAGG